TTGGTAAAACTTTGGCCTATGGTAACTTTCAAAGCATGCTGCATATCAAGAGCTCTAAAGGAAGAAATTGGGGAAAACAGAATGTGACTGGATGGTAACTGCTCCTTGGTACATCTAGCTACTTATTGTAAGAAAGGGAAGAATTGCCCAGTTTGCAAGCAAAAAGGGAAGACAGAAGAATCAGAGGCTGGGTCCTGGAGCATTAGAAAAGCTTCTGTACCCCCAAAGAATGGACGATGGGCAGGCTGTGTTCCAAGTCATTCTCAGAGACTTCTGTAAACTGAATGAATGCACCTCATTCCACAGCAAAGGTTTATGTAAAGGTATTGCCTTCCCACTCATCTGCTATTCCAGATGGCCTCGAGGTAGCCTCCATAAGTTAAGAGAGGTTAGCTGGGACTTCCCTGGTGGTCCAATGGTTAAGAATCTGTCTTGCAACAGAGGACACAGGTTCGTTCCCTAGTCAGGGAACTAAGATCGCACATGCTGCAGGACAACTAAGCCCACACGCCTCAACTAGAGTCTATGGGCCACAATGAAGAGCCTGCATGATGCAAAGAAGATTCCATGTGCCACAGCTAAGACCCAAGAGAGCCAAATATAGAAATATTTAGAAAAAGAAAGGAAAGGTTAGGCAAGAAAGGAAAGAAGTAAGGCAGTCTTAAGAGCTATATCTAAGAAAGAAACTTGGATGTGATTCCTGACACATGAGAGTGCTTGGGAGACACAGATGAGAAGCTATTACATTTTTGGAGGCCTTGAATTGGGAAAAGGAAGTGCTGGTCTAACCTGAAAACATCTGCATCTACTGAACCCTGAAGAACCCTCAAGACACCTAAGCAGCAGTAAGCACAACTGTCAGAGGAAGCGGCTTTCCAAAGGCCACTTCAGATGTGAAGATGTGGAAGCTATGAAAGACCTCTGAGAAGACAAATCTAGGGACCTGCAGGATAAAGGACAAGAGCTAGGCTTCTCACACCTTCCAGGGAGCAGAACCAGGGTCTAATCTACTTTCATTGACTCAATAGGGGGTCCCACAGAAGCCATCATTTCTTTGGACAAGTGTGTGCATGCTTAGTCACTAAGTCATGTCTGACTCTTTGCAACCCCATGGACTGTAGCCCTCCAGGCTCTTCAGTCCATGGGGATTCTCCAGGCGAGAATACTGGAGTGGGTTGTCATTTCCTTCTCTGGGGGATCTTCCAAACCCAGGGATCAAACCCACGTCTCCTGCATTGGCAGGTGGTTCTTTACCACTGAGCCACCAGGGAATCCCAGCCAATCACTAAGGATTATAAAATAGGTATGTCTTCCAAGGGGGAAGCAGTGGGACGGGAAGAATTAGGAGATAGGGATTGACACGTACACACTATTGATACTATGTGTGAAATAGATAACTACTGAGAACATATTGTACAGCGCAGGGAACTCTAATTCACTGCGGTGACCTGAGTGGGGAGAGAGCTCTAAAGGGAGGGGATACACGTACATGTGTGGCTGAAACTCTAATTCACTGTGGTGACCTGAGTGGGGAAAGAGCTTGAAAGGGAGAGGATACACGTATGTGTGTGGCTGATTCACCTTGCTGTACAGTAGAAGCTAACACAACACTGTAGAGCAACTGTACTCCAATAAAATCAATTTTAAAAATTAAAAAATAAAATAGGTGTGTCTTTAATTCCAAACAATGCTGGAAAACAAGAAGGACCATAAATTATGAGAACTATACAGAATATCTGATAGATGGAAATCAAGCAGCTGGAGAAAATGAAGCTCAAAATGGTCCCCAAAGAGAGATGCAACAAAAGAGGATGCCCCAAACTCAGAGTAAGTAGTTTTGGGAGCTGGAGGACTAGTTGGCATTCTGGGAGAAGAGCAGCCCGATGACTCCTCCCACCCTGGCCTTGTACCAAGTACCTGGGAGACCAGGCGTCTGCCTCCAGGAAGGAGTACTGAGTGCAGGGACCTGAAACAGTGCCGTGAGGGAGGCAGCCAGCCAGAAAACTAAAAACCACTGCACCTCACTCGGCAAAGCATCTGTAATCCCTCAAAACCACGGGAAGTGGGCAGCAGTAACAGACACAGCACCACAGGCAAACTGACGTGGAACCTCAAATGAGACGTTGCACACAGAGCAAAGAATTGTTTTTTGTCCATTAGTACTTGGCAAAATCTGAAGTCTAATGACACAGGCAAGGGGAAGCAGGTATTGCTATATTAATAGTAGTGTACCTGTTTTAGCAGGTAATTTGGCAGTATCGACGGTCTCTTAAATGCATTCACTCTAACTCAGCAATTTCATTTCCAAGAAGGACTTCCCCATCATCATGTAGAGTCAGATAAAGGACATTCCTTTTAGAAAATAACTGGAAGCAACCTTAATGTATATTAATACAGGAAATGGTATATATATAATGGAAAACTATGAAGCCATTAAAAAATAATAGGATAACACATATACAATGGAATATTACTCAGCCATAAAAACAGCAAAATAATGGCATGTGCAGCAACATGGATGGACCTAGATTGTCATACTCAGTGAAGTAAGTCAGACAGAGAAAGACAAAGTCAGACATATATATACATAAGTGGTATATGTAAGATCACTTATATGTGGATTCTAGAAATATGGTAGAAAGGAACTTATTTACAAAATAGAAATAGAATCACAGATATAGAAAACAAACTTGTGGTTACCAGGAAGGAAGGGGGAGGAGGGCTCAACGGGGAGACTGGCATTGACATATACACGCTACAATATATAAAATAGATAACTAATCAGGACCTATTGTACAGCACAGGGAACTCTACTCAACAATCTGTAATGACCTATATGGGAAAAGAATCTAAAAACAGAGTGAATACACGCATATGTATAACTGATTCACTTTTCTGTACATCTGAAACTAACACATTTTAAATAGACTATACTGCAATAAAAATTTTTTTTAAAAATAGTGGGGCAGATCCATATGCATGATGTGGGAATAATTCCAACAAACAATGGTACATTTACAAAAGCTAAGCATAGCATAATACCTCTAGTACAAAATCTTGTATTTGAAAACAGTGAAGGGTCTAAAGCAGTAAGTATACAGTATATCTATGAACATAAATAGATATGACAGTGTTCATACAAAATTTTTAACACTGGCAACATCTAGGAAGGGGACTGGGGTATAGTGGGTGATCACAAGAAACTAAAGTATAACTTACACCACCTGAATGCTACTTTTCTCAGTTCAACCATTTTCTTCAGGCATATATTTGTGCCATTTGTATAATTAAAAAATAATGATGCAACACTTATGGCGGTGCCTACTACACAGCAGGTGCTCAGCCAATGCTAATTCAAATTTTTTTTAAATTAGGGAAATTTTTTACAAGAGTTAAAAATTTAAATATAGAGGATAATGCAGCATGATGTTTCTATGGCCAAAGTTTGACACACGAGAAGGTGGTAGGTATAGATCTGATAGACAGAGTGCCTGATGAACTATGGACAGAGGTTCGTGACATTGTACAGGAGACAGGGATCAAGATCATCCCCAAGCAAAAGAAATGCAAAAAAGCAAAATGGCTGTCTGAGAAGGCCTTACAAATAGCTGTGAACAGAAAAGAAGTGAAAAGCAAAGGAGAAAAGGAAAGATAGTCCCATCTGAATGCAAAGTTCCAAAGAATAGCAAGGAGAGAAAAGAAAGCCTTCCTCAGCGATCAATGGAAAGAAATAAGGAAAACAACAGAATGGGAAAGGCTAGAGATCTCTTCAAGAAAATTAGAGATACCAAGGGATCATTTCATGCAAAGATGGACTCAAAAAGGACAGAAATGGTATGAACCTAACAGAAGTAGAAGACATCAGGAAGAGGTGGCAATAATACACAAAAGAATTGTACAAAAAAGAACTTCACGACCCAGATAATCACGATTGTGTGATGACTCACCTAGAGCCAGACATCCTGGAATGTGAAGTCAAGTGGGCCTTAGGAAGCATCACTACAAACAAAGCTAGTGAAGGTAATGGAATTCCAGTTGAGCTGTCTCACATCTTAAAAGATGATGCTGTGAAAGTGCTGCACTCAATACGTCAGCAAATTTGGAAAATGCAGCAGTGGCCACAGGACTGGAAGAGATTAGTTCTCATTCCAATCCCAATGAAATGCAATGACAAAGAGAGTTCAAATTACCACATAATTGTACTCATCTCACACGCTAGTAAAATAATGATCAAAAATCTCCAATCCAGGCTTCAACAGTACATGAACCATGAACTTCCAGATATTCCAGCTGGTTTTAGAGAAGGCAGAGGAACCAGAGATCAAATTGCCAACATCTGTTGGATTATCAAAAAAGCAAGAGAGTTCCAGAAAAACATCTATTTCTGCTTTATTGACTATGCAAAAGGCTTTGACTGTGTGGATCACNGCTTTTGAACTGTGGTGTTGGAGAAGACTCTTGAGAGTCCCTTGGACTGCAAGGAGATCCAACCAGTCCATCCTAAAGGAGATCAGTCCTGGGTGTTCATTGGAAGGACTGATGCTGAAGCTGAAACTCCAATACTTTGGCCACCTCATGCGAAGAGTTGAGTCATTGGAAAAGACCCTGATGCTGGGAAAGATTGAGGGCAGGAGGAGAGGGGATCGACAGAGGATGAGATGGCTGGATGGCATCACCGACTCAATGGGCATGAGTTTGAGTAAACTCTGGGAGTTGGTGATGGACAGGGAGGCCTGGCGTGCTGCGGTTCATGGAGTCAGACACGATTGAGCGACTGAACTGAACTGAATGTGGTGGAATTTGTCCTTGATATAAGTACTCAATACAAGAAAGCAGGAAAGGGTGCATTACTAAGGGGTAAAGGGAATTCACCAAATAACCTAAGAGAGAAATTCAGAATCTCAGTGTAACCACACAGAATACAGCAATGAGCAGTGAGCAAGCACTTTCAGCATAGTCTTGCAGAAGGGCATGCAGTACCCACAGAACTGTCAGCTCACCTGTTGTCTTTGCTGAGGAGGCGGTGGACACCCCATTGAGCTCGCTGGGACTCCTTTTTATGGGCCGTGGCTTGTATTCTCGCTTCGGGACGTTGGAGGCAGCTGATATCCTGTGATATACACATTTTAAGATCAGTCAGACATCTGATGAAAAATTCAAAGCCTCCAAAACTACATTTGTTCTGCCTTGTGGACCTACACATTTAGGTCCTAAGGTAATGGTCATGAAGGGGGTAATTTTTACACAGTGACCCTTGAGTAGATCAAAGTGATGGCTCTGATATCCCAAATGTAGTTTTTTGGCTATATGCAGGCATCGAAAAAGCAAGAGAGTTCCAGAAAAACTTCTATTTCTGCTTTATTGACTATGCCAAAGCCTTTGACTGTGTGGATCACAATAAACTGTGGAAAATTCTGAAAGAGATGAAAATACCAGACCACCTGACCTGCCTTTTGAGAAACCTATATGCAGGTCAGGAAGCAACAGTTAGAACTGGACATGGAACAACAGCCTGGTTCCAAATAGGAAAAGGAGTACATCAAGGCTATATATTGTCACCCAGCTTATTTAACTTATAGACAGAGTACATCATGAGAAACGCTGGGCTGGAAGAAGCACAAGCTGGAATCAAGATTGCCGGGAGAAATATCAATAACCTCAGATATGCAGATGACACCACCCTTATGGCAGAAAGTGAAGAGGAACTAAAAAGCCTCTTGATGAAAGTGAAAGAGGAGAGTGAAAAAGTTGGCTTAAAGCTCAACATTCAGAAAACTAAGATCATGGCATCTGGTCCCATCACTTCATGGGAAATAGATGGGGAGACAGTGGAAACAGTGTCAGACTTTATTTTGGGGGGCTCCAAAATCACTGCAGATGGTGACTGCAGCCATGAAATTAAAAGACCCTTATTCCTTGGAAGGAAAGTTATGACCAACCTAGATAGCATATTAAAAAGCAGAGATATTACTTTGCCAACAAAGGTCCGTCTAGTCAAGGCTATGCTTTTTCCACTGGTCATGTATGGATGTGAGAGTTGGACGGTGAAGAAAGCTGAGCGCCGAAAAATTGATGCTTTTGAACTGTGGTGTTGGAGAAGACTCTTGAGAGTCCCTTGGATTGCAAGGAGATCCAACCAGTCCATCCTAAAGAAGATCAGTCCTGGGTGTTTATTGGAAGGACTGATGTTGAAGCTAAAACTCCAATACTTTGGCCACCTCATGCGAAGAGTTGACTCACTGGAAAAGACCCTGATGCTGGGAGGGATTGGGGGCAGGAGGAGAAGGGGACGACAGAGGATGAGATGGCTGGATGGCATCACTGACTCGATGAACATGAGTTTGGATAAACTTCGGGAGTTGGTGATGGACAGGGAGGCCTGGCGTGCTGCAATTCATGGGGTCGCAAAGAATCAGACACAACTGAGCAACTGAACTGAACTGAGACATACCTTATTTTATTGCACTTTGCAGACATTTGCTTTTTAAAAAAAAAAAAAAAAAAAAAGAACAACTGAAGGTTTGTGGCTACTCTTTGTACAGCAAGTCTCTAGGTGCCATTTTTCCAAGAGCATTTTCTCACTTTGCATCTCTGTATCCCATTTGATAATTCCCCAAATATTTCAAACTTTTTCTTAGTTATCCTATCTGTTGTGGTGATCTGTGATTAGAGATCTCTGATGTTTACTGTTGTAATTAATGTGGGCCCCAGAAACAGTGGCATGTGAACTGGCAAGCTTAATTGATAAATGTGTGTTCTGACTGTTCTACCTACCACCTCCAGCTGTTCCCCCATCTCTCTCCTTCTCCTTGGGCCTCCCTATTCCCTGAGACACAACAATATTGAAATTAGGCCAATTCATAACCCTATAATGGCCTCTAAGTCTTCAAGTGAAAGTCTCATATCACTCACTTTAAATCAAAAGCTAGAAATGATTAAGCTTAGTAAGGAAGGCACATTAAAAGCCAGGAGAAGTCAAAACCTAGGCTTCTTGTACCACACAGCCAAGTTGTGGATGCAAAGGAAAAATTTTTGAAGGAAATGAAAAGTGCTTCTCCAGTGAACACACAAGTGATAAGAAAGCCAAACAGTCTTATAGCTGCTATGGGGAGAGTTGTAGGGGTCTGGATGTAGCTCATGGATGACGTTGGGGGGTTCAAGACTTCAGTGAAGGAAGTCACTGCAGATGTGGTGGAAAGAGTAAGAGAACTAGAAGCGGAGCCTGAAGATGTGACTGAATTGCTGCAATCCTCTGATAAAACCTGAATGGATGGGGAGATGTTTCCTATAGATGAGAAAAGAAAGTGACTTCTTGAAATGGAATCTACCCCTGGTGAAGATGCTGTGAAGACTGTTGGAATGGCAATAGAGATTTAGAATATGACATGACTTAGTTGATAAAGCAGGAGCAGAGTTTGAGAGGGTTGACTTCAATGGTGAAAGAGGTTCTACTGTGGGTAAAATGCTATCCAACAGCACTACCTGCTACAGAGGACTCGTTTGTAAAAGGCAGAGTCAACCGATGCTGCAAACTTCATTGTCTTACTTTATGAAATTGTCACAGCTGCCCCAACCTTCAGCAACAACCACCCTGATTATTGAACAGCCATCAACATTAAGGCAAGATGCTTCACCAGCAAAAAGATTAGGACTTGCTGAAGGCTCAGGTGGTGGTTAACACTGTTAACAATAAATATTTTTAAATTAGAGTATATACTGGGTTAGCCAAAACATTCATTTGAGTTTTTTACATAAGGTGTTACAGAAAAATCCCAAAACAAACATTTTGGCCAACCCAATACATAGTGGGGTTTTTTTTTTCTTAGACACAATGATATTTCACACTTAAAAGACTACAGTTTAGCATAAACAGAACTTTTATATGCACTAGAAAGCCAAAATATTCATATGACTCACTTTACTGCAATATTCACTGTATTGTGGTAGTCTGGAACCAAATTCTCAGTATCTCCAAGGTATGTCTGTATTTGTAAAGTATTTTCTCTGATAAAGTCTCTGAGGCATCTAGCAAGTACCAGGGATGAATTGGGTACTCAACAATGTTCACTTCCTTCTCTTTTTCCTCTTATAAAGATAGAATTATGAAAAGACACACGTGTGAGCAGGAGATGAACTACCCGCCTTCGAAAGTGGATGATTCAGAGACTGGATACACCTTGTGTCTTCCCTTCTATAATTACTGCATTGATTTAAGCCAAAACCCCTCCAAATTTACTCATTATGATAATCTCATATAAAACAAATATCTGTTCTCAAATTTGGTCAAAAAATAAGGTAGTATTTCAACCCAGTATTTCAATTAATAGGGTTACCATGCATGACACTTGTATCACTGATTTTCAGAAAAGTAGACAATACGCTCATCAGTAAAGTCATAAGGAACACAGCAATCTTTCTTTGACCACTCGGGGGCATTTTTGGCTCTTTCAGTATCAGAGTCAATATCGTAAACATGCCCTGATATTTGTGCTGGGGAAGTAAAAATACATCTCGTTCGAGAGATGACTCTCACAAAGAGTCAGAGATGACCGAGTGACTGAGCACACACACGAGAACCTACTGTGTAGCCCAGGGAACACTACTCAGTACTCTGTAATGGCCTATGCAAGAAAATAATCTAAAAAATGAGTGAGAGTGTTAGTAGCTCAGCTGTACCCAACTCTTTGCAACCCCATGGACTGTAGCCCGCCAGGCTCCTCTGTCCATGAGATTCTCCGGGCAAGAATACTGGAGTAGGTAGCCATTCCCTTCTCCAGTGGATCTTCCCAACCCAGTGATGTATGTATATGTATAACTGATTGACTTTGCTATACACTTGGAACTATTAATAATACACACTGTCTGAAGACCATCTCACTCCTCCCCACATCCCTAGATGCTAGGGAGTGGCCCTATGCCATCCTACCTTCAGCTAAACTCTCATCATGCCAGCAATGAAGACAGGACTGCTCTGAAAGGGCTGAACTCCAAGGCAAATGTGCAACCTGGGTTGCCCTAAACACAGGTCATGGAATAAGGGACTTGAGCAAAACGAGAAAGGAGAAAAGCTGCCAGACCTCCTTTCCAGGTTCTGTCCTATTGGACAAAGTCATACGATTATTATCTCAGCACAATCCACACCCAACCATGAAAGCCAGTGGAAGAAAATTCAAAACAGAAAGGGGCAGTGGGAAGGGGGAACTGGAGAGAAAGAGAGAGATGGATTTCTACTGACTTCAACCCTGCAGCCCTCATCTGGCAGTCAGTGGGGAGGCACTTACCTCATCTGTAGCTTGCTCTGCAGCTCCTGCAGAATCTCCGTGGACTGTCTGTGATAATCTAAAGCGGCCTCGACAAACACAGCCAGCTGGCTGACTTGTTCCACCTGCGGCACAAGTGGAAAATGACTCCGTGGAGGCCAGAGCCTGGGTCTTGTTCAGATAGAGGAGAGACTGGCGACCCAGACCCAGCCTTTCAGGGAAGACCCCCACCCCGCCACCACCACCAACCCTGTCTGCCTTGGCTCTGGTCAATTTTGTTTCATTTCATTGCAAAGTAATAATCACACAGGTCATGGTAGAGAGCTAGATATGCTGGAGAAACATGTTCAAATCTACTTTTGATTATGAAGCTGCTTTAACTCAATAAAAAAAAGTCTGTTTTTCCAATTAGATGATATTCTCGGGAGATGTGTATGCTATAAAGCTCATGGATCTGAAAAAAAGGAGAGATAAAGCTTTTCCAATGACAACTCAAGCCAACATTTAGTAAATGAATTTGCTTCCTAAGTGAAGTGTCTCTACGGGCACTTTTGAGCTAAGTCACATTAAGAAAGTAAGTAAATTAAGCTGTTTTCAGACTTCCCAGGTGGCGCAGTGGTAAAGAATCCGCCTGTCAATGCAGGAGACACAAGAGATGCAGGTTCGATCCCTGGGTCAGGAAGATCCTCTGGAGAAGGAAATGGCAACCCACTCCAGTATTCTCGCCTGGAGAATCCCCATGGACAGAGGAGTCTGGTGGGCTACAGTCCATGGGGTCGCAAAGAGTCAAACACGACAAGCAACTGAGCAGCACACAAGCTGTTTTCAGATAAGAAAAGAAGCCAGGGAGCAGGTCGTGCCCCAGGGCAAAGATATGCCAGCCCCCTATATGTATTTATTGCCAACAGCACAAAATAATTTCCCTGAAATAAACAACCCAAAGGAATGAACTAGGAAGACTGTGGCATCTCTCTTCCCATGAACCAAGACATTCATGAAATTTGAGACTAAATTACAGTGGATGAAAAAAAATAAAATCAAAAAGTTATGTTATATAGAGAGCCCCAAAGACCTGGGGATGCAAAATTTGAGGAAGAGACGTCTCCAGTGGGGTATCAGAGCTCTGCCCGCAGCTTCTGTATTATGTCTGGGGGGCTGCAACAGAAAGGAGGGATGAATGGAGCTGATTTCCACAAGCCTCAGAGTAGGGACCACTGGGTGGAGGTGATGGGAGGGAAGGGGTTCCAAGAGTGAAAGCTAGGAACTCCAGAACCAGACAAAGGACAAACCAAAATCAATCCCGCTCTTTCCTAAACTTCCCCAAAGTGTATACCTCATCTCCTTACTTCATTTCTCAGTAACTTAGGGGAAAGTCTGCCTTCTTAGTCCCTCCTACACATTCACCCTGCAAAACCAATCATGGGCTCCTTTGCCTTCAAAGACCCAAGCTATTTTCATTTTCTATTACTGACTGTGCTTTATCTGTCTACACTTTAATTCTCCTTGCCCACGCACGCCATTTTAAACACAGGCTCACTGTTCATGTAAGATCTACATGGACTTCCGCTTGGGTCATTCTGTGATCTGTGTCTGCACAATGAAATCCCATCATATCACATTTACATAACCACACTCTGTGGCTGGAAAAGCAACAAGCCTAAGCCTGAAATTTCCAAAAACCCAATAAACAAAACAAAGACAGCCTGGCCCCTGCAAAATTCTAAGGATTTAAGTTTCACCTCTTTGACTTGTACACACACTTTTAAATAAGTCTAGCACCATAGTCTAACAGGATCACAGCAGAATCTGCTTCAGATTCCTTACAGTGCAAGAGCTGTGGCTGGTTAACAACTGCACCACACTCCTCTGTCTTTAGTAAGGTTAATTTATATATATACATACATATTTTTAAAAATAATTTTATTTACTTTTGGCTGTGCTGGGTCTTCATTGCTGCACAGGCTCTTCTCTAGTTGTAGCAAGTAAGGGCTACTCTCTAGCCGAGGTGCGTAGCCTTCTCATTGTGGTGGTTTCTCTTGCTGTGGAGCATGGGCTCAGTTGCTCCATGACATGTGAGGTCTTCACGGATCAGGGGTTGAACCCATGGCTCCTGCACTGACAGGTGGATTCTTTACCATTGAGCCACCAGAGAAGCCCAACTTTTTTTTTAAGAGAGTGTGTTTTTTTTTTTAATGTGAACCATGTTTAAAATCTTAATTGGAGGAGCC